TGGCTGCCGGAGGAGCACGCGGGCGAGGGGAGGAGGCCAAAAGGGCCTTGATCTCATCGAGACCTTGCTGAAACTGCTGTTGGTGAGCAACCTGTGCAACACGCTGGGACTCAGCATTGGCCTGGAGCTGGGCGCGGAACTCGACTGCGAAAGTGCTGAGGTCGCCTTTGACCATGTCCACCTGTTGCTCTACTGCCGCCTGGGTATGGGCAAGCTGCTGTGTCACCGCCTGATGGCCGCGGCGAACCTCTGCAAGGCCGGCCTCCAACTGTTGCAACCTAGTCTCCTGCTGATCAAAGCGCTGCTGATTGGGAGGAACCGGGGCACGCGGGGCCGGGGGTTGTGCTGCAGCAATGTTGCGCGACCCTGCCTGCTGATTCAAGTATTTTTTCCATGGGTCATTTGCCTCCAATGGGTCGACAGCATCAGTAAGGGCAGCGGCTTGTGATGCGGCCGGCATACGGCCCGCCCTGAGAACTGGCTTACTGCCCTGTCGGGGTTCAACAGGCTGGACGAGAACGGCTTGTTGGTTCATACTGAGCAGGCCTTCGGGCGGAGGACCGCTTGCTCCAAGCAGCCACTGGCCAGGGGCCAAACATCTCAAGGGGCGAACCTGCCACTTCATCTGGTGGGCCCAGGCCTGTATGTCTGCTGAGCGCAGTTGCGGGGGAGCCGAGGAAAGCTTGTAGAGACCTGTCACCTCAACCTTTGGCGGAGCTTCCTGATCCGGGCGCACTACAGACCAAGCCTCCTTGAAGTTGGCCTCCGCGACCCTGATCCCTAAGCGGGACTTTGACCGGACCAGTCCGAGGGGCTCGGGAACCCTAAGACAAAGCTGAACAATCTCATCTTTGGCGCCTGGGGCCCACACCACGGCGAATCCCGGAAGCACCTCCTGCTGCCAAGTCTTGGGCGTCACATAGACATGTGTGTGGCCAGACAACCTGAGGAGAGGCAGCAGCTCGCTGCGGGGCACCCTGCAATGGAACTGAACCGATGTGCAGGCAGATGGCTGGCTCGGGCGTCCATCCAGACGAAAGCTGCGGCCGAAAGGGGCTTCAAGACGCGCCCGGAAACCACTGTTGCGCATATGGTCAGCAACAGCGCGAACAGGATTAGCCACGTAGGTTTCCCAGTCAGTGGCGCGAACCTCATCTTTATACACTGACAGACAAACGCAGATGTCCTCTGGCAGGGCGACAGTAGCGTCATTAGCGCATTGTACATGGAGGGGGCTGCCGCCCATGTCATGCCAGCAAGCATGGAGCAACACTGATTCGCCCGTGGAAGTTTGTGCTGGGACACCTATGTGGCCCTTGCAGGAGGATGCATCTGGGCAGGCATGGCCAAGGACGACCAGGCCGAGCTCGTCAGGAGACTGGTCCTTCCAAGTGGCCAACAGGCGTGGCGCGTCATGGCTGTCACAAAGTAGAACACCGCTGGCACCCGGCACAAGCTGGGACAGTATTCTGGCATTGGTACTGTCCTCATTTCGAAAGAACCCCGGTGTGAGGACGAAGTCTGAAGCTTTGGGCCTGGGGCCGGGGCGGCCATTGCGCTTAGCAGCTTCCTGCTGAACCTGGGTGGCAGCTTTGGCGGTCCTGGTGGTCTGCTCTGGCAGAGTAACTGCAAATTGGTCACACAAGGCCTGCACCTGGCCCCAACGATTTGTCCCATCTGTCAGCTCCAGTGCACGCTGAATCCTGGACACCCCAGCCTGGGCCAGAAGACGATCCACAGCTGCCGTGGTTTGGCTGAGGGGGAGCCCTTTGTCCAAAAAAAGTTGCGCAAGGTTAGTCTGGGTGGCCCGGAACTTTTCATCTTTGGCACCTCCACCTCTTGTCTCCGGCATGAAAGAGATAAGCAAGAAGCCCCCCTTAGACACGAAGCCAGGGGCCCCAGGACCGAGACTGGCCTGCTGCAAAGTCAAGGCGTCCGCGACCTGGCGAGGCCCGGAGTAAACACGCACTGGCCGCAAAGACCGTACCGCCAGGCCGGCTTGCTCCCAAAGATCAGCCAGGTCCTCAAAAGTCAGGTCGGCTGGGAGCCTGCCAAGCCACATGGTGCGGCCCTCGAGCTGAACCTTGGTACTCACCAGATCCCCTTCATTGGCAACTGCAGTGGCTTCAATGGACCTCAGGAGGCCCACTAAAAGCAGCCGGTGGCACATGAAGATGACCTCATGCTCAGGCATACGAAGTCTGTGGCGTCGAGGTACGAAAATGATATCGGCCTGGACTTCCTGTTCGGGCGACAAGCCAGGTACCAGGTGGACCGCCCAGCCGGCGGCCAGGAAAACTGAGACAGGAAAGGACTTGCAAAGGGCCAGCGTTTGTTCACCTGATATCCGTATTCTGGGGGGCCCAGCAGGGCTCCGGACCTCAAAACACTGCAGCTGTTCCAGGCTGATACAGAATGGCGTGTCAGCCAGCAGATCAACAATGCGAAAAGCCACGGTTCCCTGCAAGTCAACCCGATCAACAATGAAGTGGCCTTCGAAAGTGTACCACCGATCTGTCTCAAAGAAACAAGCCTCCTGCCATCCATCAAGACCCATCACCTGGGACAGTTCCCAGATAAAGAACGGGCTCGCGCGGTTCAAGAAATAGTAAGCAGAACGACCTGTGGCCATCAGGAGGTTTTGGCCCGACACTTGACCGACCTGTTGCAGAAGAAGCGGGAGGGCTGGCAATGACTCAACCTCGAGGCAGGCCTCCTCAGGAAAGGTCTGAGTATCAGGAAGGCAACCGTTAAGAGCAGGCACCGGCCCAAGCTGGGAAAGGCCTTCCTCCGGGAGGTTTTGCCCCAACGCAAGCAAGACTGCGGCAAGTGGCACATCTGGGGCTAAGGCAAAATAACAAGTGTCAGCCTCTGAGCGGAGCAGGATGCAACTGAAGTTGGACTCCGGTCCTGGAATGCACTGACGGGGCTGCCACGTATCAAAGACCGCGAGGAAGGACTGTAGTTGCTCACCGGTCCTACTCATAACCCACCCGGTAGGGAACTCAAGGAACTCAAGCTTGCTGGCCCGGAGCCGCAAGGAGAGGCACTTCAGAAGGGCCTGAGCTGTTGAGATCTTGATCTCCGGCGGCCCGAGGATCTGCAGGGCAAGCGTTAGCGGAAAAACCGCGTGGACCGGCGACAAGCCGTTGCCGAGGGCTCGCATCTGTATGCGATCGTCTTTTGGAAGCCACACCGAACCGGTAGCACAGTGCAGTAAGGCGATCTCAACCCCACTAAAAAACCTCACAGAATCCCCTATGGCAAGCAAAGCCCCGTAAAGTCCAGCCCGTTCAAGTACATGAGGCGAAAGCTCATGCTGAAAGTGGTACTGTGCGAGGAAAGTGGGTGCCCTATCGCCTGTGCCTCTCAAGCGAAAGCCTTTGGGGTCCTGGGGCCGTCCTTGTGGGTGGCGGGAGGGAGGCATGAACCACGGATCGAGGTAAACCTGCAGGACCTCTGGAGGCAACAAGCTTGCGCGAAGTAAAGCCAGCGGATGCTCAGGCAGGCAATCAAAGGAACCCAAGGTGGGACGCATTGGCAAGACCGGCCAATCGGCAACGAGTGAAGGCGCCGGCGTGCCCTTATGGACCAACACAAGGAGAAGCCGCTTACGAAAAGCCGGGGCGACCTCAACCAGGTCAATGGTCTGCGTCCAGCAGACCGAGTAGCCTGCTTCCTCCCAAGCCTTTTGCACGACTGGGTAGTGGGCATGCACCTTGAAGCCTGGGACCTGTTCCAGCAAGACCACTGGCACCTGCAAGAAAGCCAACTGACCGAAGAGATGCAACATGAGTTGCCCATCAGGGGCCTCCAGGCCTGAGCCTTTGCCACCTGTGCTCCAGGGCTGACAGGGCGGTGATGCACAAAGTATGCTGGGATGGGTGAGTGCAGGCCCTTGGGCCCACCACACATGCTCCAAGCTTGCACAAACGTAGGCCGGTTCGGCCGTCTCGCTGGCGTCGACAAGCTCCGTTTGGTTAAAAACCTTATGTAGTGACGGGTGGTTTTGCCGGGTGCCTTCATAGCAATCTTCATCTGTGTCCAGCAACCACTTAACCCCACAGGAGTAACCAAAAGTGCGAAGAACCCTGACCCCCTGGCTCCAGCCATTGAAACCTCCACAGAAAACCTCCGCGACCTCCAATGTAGTGTCCTGTCGAAGTGCAGTGGCGCCGGCTAGCACCGCTCGTCCTGTTGTGGTGTCGATGACCGGTCCACTAGGACCGGACTCAACGTTCGCCTGCAGAATCCTTAGAACAGGCGACCGCCGCGCAACTGCCTGGTACATGGCTTCGGAAATCTTGACCACAACTGAGGTAGGTGTGCGCATCGAAGTCGAGGCAGAAGTTTCAAACCAATCAGCCTGAAGAACCCCTGAAACGAACCAAAGGTCGCCAAAGCGGGAGGCCCTGCCGTCCAGAAGAACATGGAATGCCGCACTGCGGATCATTGGTAATTCAAGAGACTGTGCAGCTGAGTACAGCAAACGTATGTCATGCCAAAAGGCTTCCGCTCCGCCATCCGAAGCTTCCGAAATACGACGTTTCCCTGTGAAATCCATGGCACCGATCGGAACCCTAGG